CTCAATTAAACTGGACACGCTGCTCTTCCAAATTTAACGCATTTTGCTTTCGATCATCACGATTCGGAGGCCTCTTCGACTTGGTAGCGTATGTACTGCATCTGATTATTAGCAGTAGTAGTGTGTGTCGTTTGGAATTGCAGGCATTCATGTCAATGTTTCAAATAATAACACAGGAAGGCTGGACGGATGTTGTAGTTGAAATTCTGCGTACCACGAACGAATCAATGGTTCCATTTGTCGCAATATATTTCGTCGGATATCATTTATTCGTCACTTTGGTAACGGTTTCCGTAGCCTCTTTCAAGTTCCATTTCAGCATAAAAGTAGCACCTGCCAGGGTGCAGCGTGAAAAATAAAGAATCCGAAACCAACTTTTTCCCCCACTAAAGAAAACTCCGATTATTTTTTGGTGTGGTTTTTTTAGGATCAGCAAAAAAAGTCGTCTGCGGCTTTTTGATTTTTTTGGAAAATTTTCAGAAAGAGGGATTTTCACCAGCTTCATTATCCATCGATAGCGGTGGCTGATGATGCTTCGTTAAAAGCGCTGTCAGTCTGGCCGATAACAAATGCTTTTGTCCTCTCTAGAAAGTCATAAGCGGAGGAGAAGATTAGAAGTCCCCGAAACAAAAAGAATGAATTAGAGCACTGCAGTGAATAATGTATGGACCTTGAGCCTTATGCTACTAATCGCATTTATAGATTGTGCTTTCGCTCTTCGTTGCGGTCATTCTGGATAATTTGGAAATGGATGAAGAGTTGAAAAGGATCAAACAACTAAAAGCCAGAGAAGAAGTAGTGTAGTTATGTCAGCTTTTCACGTATAACAACGTTTCACGTTTTAACAAAAATTAATGAGCGATTTATATCACGCATGCTCATCACATTCAAAGCTATTCCCACTCCTTCCGCACGCTCTGCTCCTTCTGTGTTTATAGTTGAGAGTGAAAAACAAATTACTCGCCAGTATGTTTTTGTAGCATAAGTTAGTTAGATGCACTATGTAAAATAATCTTAATATATATTCGGTAATACGATGACGAAGATCGCCCCAGTTATCGGTCTAGAAATCCCATATCTACATGCCCAGAGCGCCTCTACTAGATCTGGCCTAAGCTTCATATCTCCAGCTGTTACACTTGCCCTCTTCATCATATTGCAACTGCGCCTTTTCAGATATCGTACAATCCCTTCTTTTGTTGCCACTCACCTGACTGGTCATTATGTCTACCGGTTAACACCGTAGTGAGCAGTATGCCCCGCCCATCGAATTTTGTTTTTCCTCGGTATCATGCACCATTTTGTTTTTTCCCAGCAATATGAACAACGTATCATCCTCATCGAGTCGCGCTTTCCTCGCCGATACCACTTACCCGGCTACCCACATTGAGCAGGAAGTAGTATTTTTCTAAGGATATTCATTGTTTATGTATAGGCCACAAGCATAAAATGAGCTGCTGCTTATTTTAATGTATTAAATGTTCAAATTGCAAGTAGGTTTTCTCTCTATAGGGTCAATTTACGCAGAAAAACGTAATTACAACAGTAATTCCCCTGTGGGGTGCAGCTATTGATTAAATAATGCGCCATCAAAGTTTTGATATTGCCAGTATTAAGTGATATTGTTATAATATCTAGACCACTTGCATGCGTACAACGCTTCCATGGCGACTGAGAATTTTTGAGAAATTTCCAACTCGACCACAAATGGTCAAACTACGTAGAGTGTCCGGTGAATTCCCACTGCCAAAAGTGCGACAGAGCTTTACAAGGCAGTTTGCAGAAGACAGTGGTTTCACTTGCAACGCCCATTCTGACGGTTTGTTGGTCATTTTTTTATTTACACAAATTCGTATGATCTCTTTGCTATTCGACTGTTTTGCTACTTATGTAGATTTCTTGAGCATTATTTCGTAGTTGTCAATTTACAAGAGATTTGGCCACATTTCCTTAATACAGATGATGTTTTGATCAGCTGAAGTTTATAGCTTTTTTATCCAACTGTACAGTTTTCCAGTTGCTTTGACAAGTGCTGCATCGCCGGACATAACTTCTTGGTGATGTCAGCATTAATTTCATTTCCT